TCCGGGTCAGCTGCAGAGGGGAGAAGAGAGGGAAAGACAGGGCCTTCTCGGGCAGCTGTCCCCGGCTGGAATCGGACCCTACGTGAGGGCGGTGCGGGGAGCATAGTTTTCAGAAGGCAGATGGGCAAGTCCCTAGCTTTTCTTAGGGGTGCTGATCCGTGTGGGGTCAGCGTGGGACAGCTCAGCTAGTCCAGGAGACCTGTCTGGGCGAGGAACAGGAGGTTCTTTTACAGACGTCCGCTTTTGTAGATTGGTGCCTGTGCCCTGCCCAACGTTAAGGACACACGAATAGTTGTAGGAGACCCTGTGTGTGAAGGATGGGGAGTGAGCGGTGACACTGAAACGATGCCCTTCTGTTTGATCTGCATTGCAGAGCCGCCTTTGTTTATAAGGAGTGAGGCAGAACAAGTAGATGTGGAAGACAGTAGGTTTTCACATTATTTAGTGCTCATTTCTTCTTATTCCTGACTACCAGGTTAAATCCCAAGACTGTGGACACTCACCAGTGTAGGTGGGCATCCGTCCGTCCACCTACCCACACCCTCTCCACCCTTCCTTCTTCTTCTTCTTCCCATTCATCCATCCATTCCTTATGAAATACCTGCTGTATACGAGGTACCATGCTGGACTTTGTACCCACATCATGGTAACATGAAGGAGAGAGGGTTTTAGCTGCTAAGGGAGATTATCACGTAGCTGTGCCCCATTGTAAGGAGTGGCTCTGTCAGTACAGGGGCAGAGGAGCAGAGGGGAAGGGTGCTGCCTTCCCCCATCTGGCTCATGAGCTTTGTCCCATCAGGAAAGCCAGGGTGCTCAGGTTCTGGCTTTATCTCCACTGCTGCAAAAATATAGTTTCTGTCTTACTGTGCCTTGGACCTTTGACATTTTCCCTTCTTCTGCTGCTTTCCTTTACATTTCAGTTCGAAACTGAAGAGTCTGGAATGAAGAGAGAAACATGGAGGTCAACCCGTGCTCAGCAAAGTTCTCTCACCCCATCCTAACCTCAGGCATTGGGGGCTCAGCCTTTGCTAACCATTACAAGAGCGTTGCAAAATTGAGCTGAAACCGCTGCACACTTAGCTGAGTGGCTAAGGTGGAACACAGTAGCACTGCCAAAGGCTGGCAAGGATGGAGATGGGCTGGGTCCCTCGGACATTGCTGGCGGGGATTCACAATGGTCAAGCCACGCCGAGAAACGCCGCTCTGGCAGGTTACTGTGGAACTAACTGTCTTGCCACCCAGCAAGCGCTCCCTTGGGCGGCCATCCTGGAGAAATGAAAGCTCATCTTTTACACAAAAACCTGTGCACATATGCTTGTGGCAGTTTTATTTGTAATAGCTCCAAACTGGAAACAGCCTCAGTGCCCTTCAACTGGTAAGAGGTTAAACAAACTGTGGTACTTCCACACTATGGAAAATGCAGCAGTTAAGAGAAAAGCATCCATATCCACAGAAACTTGGAAGACACTCTGGGGAATCAACTATGCTGAGTGAAATAAAGCAAATTCTAAGCGTTGCATACTGTAAGAGTTTTGAAATGATAGAAGTTTAGAAATGGAGACTTGTGGCTGCCAAAGGTCGGGGAGGGGGAATGAGGAGGTGGATATGGCATAAAAGGCCAAAATTAGGGGTTCTTAGGGTGATTAACTGTTCTGAGTCTTAAGTGGTGTATACAAACCTAAACATGTGATAAAATTGTATAGAGCTAAACACACTCAAGTACAAGTAAAACTGGGGAGATCTGAGGAAGTTCAGAGAAAAGTAACAATGTTAGTATCCTGGTAGTGGTGATATTATACTATGGTCTTGCAAAGTGTTACCATGTTACCTTTCCATCACTGTGAAAAAACACCCAAGAAAACCAACACAGGGGAAGAAAGGTTTATTTTGGCTCATGGCTTCAGAAGTTTCTGTCGATGTCAGTGGCCCCACTGCCGTGGACCTGAGCTGTGGGAGGGCATCACAGTGGAGGGATTAGTGGGAGGAGGCGTCTTACCTTATGGGAGCCAGGACACAAGAAAAAGAGAAAGGGCAGAGAGAAAGGGGCTGGGGACAGGTCTATTCCCAAGATCATACCCCGCCCTTCAACGAGACCTCATCTCCTGTCCCCGTCATCTCCCAGTGGTGCCATCAAACTACGTGTCAATCAGTGGATTAATCCACCAGTGGGAGTAGAGTCCTCAATCTAAACAAGTCCCAAAAAGCCCACCAATTGGCCTTTGGGGGACATTTAGATCTAAACCAGAATAGTTACCAGTGGAAGAAACTGGGTAAAGTACGCAAGGGATTGTTCTGTGTTACTTCTTACAACTGTGTGTGCATCTATACCTGTCTCAGTAAAAACATAAACTTGAAAATAGCACTGTGTAAAAGTTGTACCTAATCAAAGTTTAAACTTTTAAATTGGAACAATTATAACCCAACATGAAATTAAGGCCATTTTTTGTATACTTCACTTGATCCATATGATTCTTTGTGCCTTATTTTCTAGCGATCAATTACTTATCATAATTATCATTTTAACCCTTTTATTTAAATGAACTGGGCTATATTGATTTCTAGATGGTTTTTAAATAATCGAGCTTGACATAGCATGTGTGTGTGGACACAACCCTGTACATCTGCTTGAATCACCCTAAAAACTTTGGGGAAAACCCTACCTGCCTAGAAGTATTATTTGGGAATAAAATATGACACACTTTATATTTGAAAGTTAAAAGTTTCTGGTCTATTTCGTGTCAAAGGCTTAATGTGGATATTTAAACAGTCTCCCTTACGAGGTAGACAAATGCTGGATACACGGATAAGCGCATTTGGATTAGAGAAGGATGAGCAGGGCTGTCTGTAGGACTTCGCATCTGAAACGGTGATTGGAACACTTGGAAAGCTCTCCCTGCTGTGAAGAGAGGTGCTGCCCCACTGCGGCTTGTAGGTCCCCGCCTCTGCTGCCGCCTGCAGCCCGAGGCCTGTGTGGGCAGGGATGGAGGCTTGGCGTGTGTGCCCGAGGGCGTGGATCCACAGGGGGGCTGCCCTGCAAGGCCCCTGGAGAACAAGACGTGGCCTATCAGGTGGTAATGGTGTTTGGGCATGGGGTTCCAATAGCATTTTTATAGATAAAGTTTAAAAATCAGTGTTTTAGTGGGATTCTAATTTATACAACAATGTTGTGCTGTCAGCGATTCTTTTTGTGTTATTCTAGTCTTTTCATTTCCTGTTCTGCACAAACATGTATCGTAGAGCTGTCTGTCTGTACTCAGTGGGAGAAAGAGTGAGTTACTCTTCAGGTCAGTGGAGAACACGAGGTTGATGTGAGAGCATTTTCCTATGTCTTAGAACAGTATCCAGTGTTGTCTGCCATGCGGTTTGGCAGGGGAGACACTGGGAGTGACAATATGGGACGTATTTGTCTGCCCGCAAAGAGGCTTCCGAGACGGCTGCTAGAGCTGTCATGGAATCTCCCACGTAGATGGGGTTGGCACTGCACTGTTAAGCATTTCCTGAAGCTCTTTCAGCCTTTTCCAAGTTGAAGCAGCTTCAGTCTGTGGTGAGTTCCAAATGAATCCCAGCAAGCAGGCTTTTTCCAAATGGATCAAATAGCACTTCATAAAAGCGTAACTGTGTATACACATAGGGATGCGGCTATGAGTGTGCGGAAAAGAATCCCAGCAGTGAATGCTATAGGTCATGTTGAAAAGAACCTTTTTCTTGTTTGTTAGAGCTATGTCTTAAAATAGTCTCTGCCATCCTTGGTTCTTAGAATTGGACTCTTCCCAGAGGTGAGTGAGTACGGGAAAGTTTGCAGCAAATTTATGTGCTGTTTTCTGTGGGTAGAAGGGTGGAAAAGTAGTAAAAATGAACTTCAGATTCCTCTGGTTTTCTTGGGACTTAGGAAAGACTGACCTAGTCTCACTTTTACAATGTTTTCTTAGGCTGGAGTGCAGGTTTGGGAAAGATTAGTACTTGCGGGTATTTGGGGAAAGTTCACATGGAAGCACGGGCTTCACAGGGGGCCTCCACTCTGTCCTTCCCTGTGAGGAGACCTCAGTTCAGTCAGTCCCCACCTTTCGGCTCTGTGTGTCCTGGAAACCACATTTCACCTTGCACACTCCGAGATATCTTATTTCCTTGGGAACAGCGTTTGAGCGGTCCGTACTATCTATGCCGATGGTCTAAGTGCATCACACGCGTAATTCACTTAGTCCCTACAACAATCTCATCAAGAAGATGCTGTCATTGCCCCTGTTTTACAGATGAAGAAATAGAGACAGGGCGAGCTTACATGACTTGCCTAGGACCACACAGTTAGTTCGTGGGAACATTGGTGTTTGAATTTAGGGAGTTGGACTTCAAAGCTTGTATCTTTAAACCAAGATATTATATATTGCCTCTCAGTGTTCAAACAAAGACATATTAATTCATTTATTTAGATATTCAATGTGATAAATAGAAAGTACTTGACAAATAAGAAAAATTCTGATTCTTTAAAAAATAGGGATAAATGTATCAATCAGATCGACTACACACAGGCCTCACCATCACGTAAGGCTGGAGAGACACAGTTTTCTCCGGTCTCCATTTGACTGTAAGAATATCCTGACACATCCGTCCCGGGCTTCAGGAAGGCCTCGCTGGTGTGGATGGCCCAGTCTCCTCGAAGGGCTGGCTAGAATGTGCACGGGACCTTTACCCTCACCTCTGAGATGTGTTTGCAGGGTGAGGCCTTCAGGGTTAGTCTTTCCACCTGTCCTTGGGTTCCCTCGTGTCTGTTGGAAAGGCTGCTGCAAAGCTGTGGGGTCCGGTGGTCCCGGCACCTCGGCTGCAGGCAGGGAAGGGTTACTTGCTTCTGGGTGGGCCTGCTGGATTCTGGGAGTCTGAGGGGGAGGCGGAGTCAGGAGGTGGCTCATTAACGACCGTCCTTGTGCACGCGGCTGCTTAGGGACAGAGGCCTTCACTCACGTCTTGTCCTTTTCCATCTCCCCACGGCCCCTCCCCGCCTGCAGCACAGACCCTGGATCCTCACGGCCTACGGGATGTGGGCTTGCTGGAGCGTGCTGGGGGCTCCGGGCGTGCTCACGGTTCTCCTCCACACCGTCACCACATTCTGCGTGGCCCAGTTCCGGTCACTGTTCCTGTCCTGGCTCTGCTCTCTCCTGCTGCTCTCCACCCTGAGGCTGCAGGGCGTGGAGGACATAAAGGTGAGTGCCTTCCCCCCTCAGGAAGGCCAGGTCCCGCCTCCCCCTCCCAGGGGATGTGTTTTCAGACACACAGTTGCGGGCCCTTGACGGGGCGCCCCTGGGGGCCACACCGGGCTTTGCGCGTTGCCCGGCCGCTGGGTTGTGCAGCCCTGTCCTCTCGGCCCTGTGGGGTTGGCCGGGGCTGACCCTGTACGTTCTTTCCTGCTTGGCTTGGCGCAGAGGGTGCCACTGTTACAGGTCCGGAGGGTCAGGAACAAAGGCAGAGACGCCCGGACGTGTGGCCAGGCCCTGGTTTAGGGGACACGCTCACTCCCACCCTTCGTCTTACCCTCAGCCCCAAATGGCTCTGACACAGGGAAGACAAGTGGTCTTCTTCTCAGCCTTTGGAACAGATGTGCTTCTACTGACTCATGAAGACAAGAATGAAAGCGCTTTGGATTTAGAAAGTGGAAGAGCTTTCGTTTCTGCGGCACAGTGGCATCCGCACAGACCACTGCCTGTCTGTGCTAATGGAGGGCAACGTTGGGCTCCCACCCGCTTCTGTGCTTCTGATTGTATTCTGTCAGTTTCTCTTTGACGGAATCTTCAGCTGCTTGGCTGTATTATTTCCCTAGTGCATTTGTGTTCTGCGAGGAGACAGCAGATTTGGCTGGGTGTCGGCCCACAGAGGGTGGCAGCCCAGGTGTGGGGGTCTGGAGCGCTGCCCCCGATGGCGCCCTCTGCTGTCTCTTCCAGCACCGTTTCCGGTTCTGGGTCATCACCCGGCAGCTCTGAACTGTCTGTTTTCTCAGGAGGAGTTGAGTGGCAAAGCTCTGCTTGTGCAGACTGGGGCCTGGCTGGGACCCTCAGGCTGCCTGCATAGCTCCCCGTCTCACTCATCAGTTGAACATATGCTTTCAAGTCCAAACATCAGTCTTGTCATCCAAGACTGCAGCCTGGGAAGCCGTCATATCTGTGTTGCCGGGCAGGGGAGTGTTAGTCCGAGTGGCGCTCTCCTCGGGGAGAAATGCCTATTGGGAGGAGCCAGTCCATGGCGCCAGCTCCGCTGTGTGGCTTGGGAGCCTGGGCATTCGAGCCTGTCGGCCTCAGGGTCAGTCAGCTTGGACAACTACTCGGTTGAGAGACTTCAAGCTCTGGGACGTCAGGGGCCCAGGCCAGAACCACCTCGTTCTCCGTCTCCATCCTTTTCTGCTGCTGGGACCTGGGAATCTTCCCTCTTCCCTGCAGTCCTTTTAAATTCAGTCTCTTTGAACCAACCTCCTGCTCTTCCTCCCTAGCCTATGCTCTGGTCAGCCCCAAAGCAGTCGCTGAGCCTATTCCTGCCTGTCTCTCGAAGGCCTCTCCACCCCTGCTTGGCTGGTCTCTCTCATTCCTCAGGTGAAATCGGAGCAGTCGTGGAACGCGTCCACGCCACTGGGCTCTGCGCTGTGAGTTTTTCCTGTGCACAGCTGTGACATAAATCGCCACAGGGATCTTGGTCCGTGAAGCGGTTTGTGTGTCTGGCCTTGCAGACAGCGTGTAGACTCCTCGAGGGGAAGGGCAGTGACACCAGGCATCTGGCAGGTCAGGCCAGCCAGGTGGGTTCTCTGCGGATGCCTGCCCAGAGCTGTGCGGCTGTGGGAGTGAGTGACGAGGCCAGGAAGAGGTGGGGTGGTGACGAGTCTGTGGAGGCCTTGAGTTTGGACTGGTACCTGCACTGGGCCAGGAGTTCCAAACCGATGTAGAGTTTAATCGCTGTGACTTAGCTTTGGTTGGTTACTGGGGGCCCTGTAGCCAATTATCTAATTAAGCTGTGGACCATTAACTACGTAAGCTGTAATTAATTAATTGGCTGACTGAATAGGCCGCAGCCAGGTAGGTTGTCTTCCGTCTGGCTGGAGTTCTCAGAACCTGCTCTGGTTCTGGGAGCTGCCCCGTCTGTGAATCCTGTTGAGCTTTGTTTTGTTCTTTGCTTAAATAAACTACTAAATTGAACAGGTCTAAGGATTGTCCCCCTCACGGTGTGTGCAGTGGCCCTCAAAGCTCCGCGTGCCACCGCTCACACGCAGTGCGTAAGGCTCGCAGCTCCCCAGTGCTGTGCGACTCGGATGGCCTCTCACCCTCATCCCATTAGCATTCCTTGCATGGAAAGCCTGGGAACTCTGGATGATACTGTCTTCAATCACGTGGAGCTGGAACTCCCAGAAGGTCTTTATTTTCATTCATTATTAATCCGCTGGCTCATTTGCAGATCCAGGTGACCTTGGAGCACCTGCGGGATCTGAGTTCGCCCAGCAGTGGGATGGAAAGGTGACCCTGGAAGCCTGGTTTCCAAGCTTTTCTGCTCCCTGTCCCGCCCTCCTCTTGAAGCTGGAGGCTGTCATTTAACCTTGGGCTCCATCCCATCGTCTGGAAAACAGAAGGAACAGTTATTTTACCTTCGTCAGAGATTGTTCCCAGGGTGGAATCTACATTAAACGATGTGACAGTTGTAGCATTTTGAAAGTTCGGGTACTTTTTTGTTTTTGTTTGGCCACCTTTCTCTGCATCTTACCAGTAGTGGAGCTAACACGTTAAGCACGTACAGCAGAATACGGACTCATGAGCACAAGTAAGGCCCTGCAGCAGTTCTGTCTTCACCAGAGAGCCTTAGTTTTCCAGATTGATTGACCGGGTGATCATTTAAACAAGTGTGCTTAAAAATGGATTTGCAACAAAAATAAAAATAAATCAACACCTATCTTTTTGGATCTGGCAAGGGCAGAAACAAAATCTAGTTCTCTTCATCATTTCTTGGGAGACAGCCTCTGTTACGGGTGTTGTCGGTGAGTAAATGTTCGTTTGTCACGGGATTCGTGGTGGCTGGTAAGCACTGTGGCTGAGAGAGCAGGTGCCCAGGAACGCACTGGGCTCCAGACTTTCTCTGTGGTTCTCTCTCTCCCCTTGGTGGCTGATCCTGGATGTAAAGTACACACTGTTCAGGGTCAGCTTTTCTGTCTACAGCCTTAAAAGACCCTGGCAGGTCAATTTAAGTACTCCTTCTTTGGACCTAGTTCTATTTCTCACATATATATGACCGAAATTTGTTTTCTCATTAAGGAACAATATATCCATCTTATGGAAAATATAGGACAATATGAAGATTGTGGAGTATTCCATGTTTTTACTCTCCCCAGTGTTGTTACCATTTTATCACACTTTCTTCTGACCTTCGGTTCCATGTGCATTTCTTGCACATGCGTGTTACTTGTGTCTTGGAATTGCATTTTTAACACACGTATCTCCTGTATGAGAATGAAACACATGAAGGGCAGGAACTACAGTATTTCTTTTGAATATGTGTCTCTAAAGGTCATTTGGTAATGGTTGGGAAGAGGAGAATTCTGAGATGCCTTAAGTTACGGGACAGAGAAAGGAAGGAGTAAAGAGACAAGAAAAATTTATTTTAACTGATAGTTTTAAATGAAAATCAACAAAGAACAAGAAAGAGCTGCTTTACATTCTTTTCCTGTATGTTAAAGATTAGCCGTCAAGGTGGCGTCATGGGTGCTTTTAGAGCCAACCAGTCAGGAAGTAGCAAATGCTTCTCTTTGTGGATTCTCTTCCTCTCCCAGGGCTTCACCTGCTTTCTGTCTTCCTGTAACCCACACAGGTTCAGTGTAAAGGATGTATGTTTTCTTCTCCCAGATTTTTGGTATAAAACACCCAGGTCTGCTTGATATTTTCTCAACTGCTATCTGGCCATGCTATTGGTGGCTGAGGGAGTTTGTCCCAGGACCACTTCTTTTTTATCTTTTGAGATAGGGTCTTGCTAAGTTACCAAGTTGTGGGGATGGGCTGGAACTTCTGATTCTCCAGCTTCGGCCTCCTGGAGTGCTGGGATTATGGGATTTACTGCCGCAACCAGCTAAGATGGGTCCTTTGATTTTTGGCTAGCATCTGTAACAGCTCCATAAACCTTTCATTTTAGAGGCTTCTTAGTCTCAGCTATTTGATTTAAATATATTAATGACAGAAGAGCAAGAAGAAAAATACATTGAAGACAGGCTGTGACATTCACAGGCCCCTCTTTGCCACCAGCATTGTTGATGTGGTTGACCTCCGTGGTATCCATGGCTGTCTCTCATGGATGCATATCCAGGAAAGCATTATGTGCCAAGTAGACAGTTGATGTTACAGATGTTCTCCTCTCCACTGCTCATTCATGCCTTGGACATGGCAAGCAAAAGGTGTACTACTGAGCTGTGCCCAGCCCTTGCTGCTTGCTTTGATTACCAGTGAGATTTACTAGAATTCATTTGTTCTGGACTCCCTTGCTGGTGCAGCTGCTATGCCCAAGAAACAGTGCTCCTCCTGGGCTTCTCAGAGAGGCAGCCATGCCAGCTGGCTGCGCTGGGATGGGATGTTGCCCTTCTGGCCACTCAACAGTTGTCCTGTCCTTTTGGCTCTGCAGAGGCGGTGGTACGGGACCGACAGTGAGTACTACCTGCTGCAGTTCACGCTGACTGTCCGCTGCCTGTTCTACACCAGCTTCAGCCTCGAGTTCTGCTGGCAGCAGCTGCCCACCCTGCGTGCCCCCCACTCCTTCCCCTGGATGCTGGCCTACGTCTTCTATTATCCCGTCTTCCACAATGGGCCTATCCTCAACTTTCCGGAGTTCGTCAAACAGGTAGCACCACTGGGGACTGGATTGGCGGTCAGTAGCTTGAGATGCTGTCCATGTTGCTCTGCTCATCTGCAAGACTTGAGTCTGCACTTTGATGCATCCACAGATGAAAACACACGCCATTCATTGTCACGAGTTTCTGCAAATAGTTGAGTAAACCAGAGGAGAAGCCTGTGTCATGTGTCAGCTTGAGGGGCCCAGCTCTGACTCTGGGTGAGCTGTGGATCCTGGGGTCCATAAGTTGCACGCAGGGACTTGGGAACTGGTGTTCCCTGCAGTGAGGCCCCAGGGAAAGAAAAAGTCTGATTATGATGGTGTTACTTCAAAAAGTGGGAAGAGAAGCCATCCTTGCCATTTATTGTCGGGGACGTAGTGTAGTGCCCTTTGTATTCACAAACTGCTGGTGAAATAGTCCTGTGGTAGCCTGGGAATGATTTGGTGACCTAGATGAGGACCATGGAGGTGAAGATTGCTGGAAGGTGGCAGTGAATTTGCAGGTACCGGCTGAGTCCCGTGTGTACCCGGACAACATCCTTGGAAGAGATGTGTGCTGGGAACTCTGCTTCCGGTGCACTGTCCCACCTCCCGCACGGCTCTCCCTCCCCTCAGCCACAGCCTGTCTCCCGGGACAGTTAACCCTGTTACTTCACCTCAGGTGTGCATGGTCAACCGCACTTAAAACAGTTTCCCTGGGGCGATGTCTACCCACCGCTGCCGCCATCGCAGATCAGTCTTGGTGGAGGGGAGGATGGTGCATCACACACACAACACACACAGGACACACAGGTGTCACACTCCCGGAAGCATAGCTCAGCGATCAGGGCCAGCAGTAGTGTTGCACATTTCTGGGGCCGTATGAAAGGTGCCACTGGAAAGGAGGTTTTCTAGCCATGACTTACTTCGTCTCAAAAATTCCACTAAGTTAATATTGGACTTAAAAGCAGGTTTTGACATTGTAACGATAGCATGATGTGCTAAACTCGTCTGTGAAAGGGTATAACTGTTACCCTCCAGAAATCCCGAGTGGAACAGGCGTCCCGGGCACACGCAGGTGCAGTGTTCGGCTCTCATGCCTCAGATTGGGTTGCCTAGGACCACTCTTCTGTCACGAGGCCGTCTCAGCTGTGTGGTGAGTGACGCTAGGAGACGGAGGTGGTGCAGTGCTGGCAGCTGATGGTCTCTCTCGGGGTCTCAAAGTGAGGTCCCCAGCCTGAGGCATCCCAGGCCCTGGCAGAACTCCTGACGGGTGTGGGGCTGGCAGCACGGCTTAAGGGGCCTTCCAGGTGACTTGGACCCATGCTCCAGGCTGGAAACGCTATCCTGAGTTCCTCAGAGCAGGGAGGGGAGAGGGGCACAGGATGGCATGGGTTCAGATCCTCCACAAATGGTCTCTCTCACAAGCCCCTCGACATTGTGGATTTTGAATTTTCGAGACATTCCAGCCAGTAACTTTTGGACTGGACATCTACCCCTCTTCTCCCGGGGACTGATAGTAATTCTCAGGGAACCAACTCAGTCCACTGGGGGGAACAAATGATTTTCCTGAGTGCATCTTGTCCATAAGGAGATTTCCCCTGGGGGGTCTGCACTTTAGTATGCACAATTATCGCGGTTTTTACTTCTCATCACCTTTCAGATTGTGGCCTTTGGGACCCAGTGGGAGTGTTAGGGCCCTGTCTTTGGGTCCCACGAGTTTTGAGATGAGTCCAGGCCTGGGGCTCTCTTCTCTTAAGTCTTGGTCTGGGGAGCAAGAGGGGAGAGGGTGACTTTTTGCTGTAGGGGCTCAGGTAGAGACGCTGGGTTCCATTTATTTCTCACCCTTCCCTTTCTACTCCTTGCAAAATGACGGCAAATGCAGAGTCCAGAGAATTTGGAAAGGCATAGAAACGTTATTCAAGAAAAGGGAAATGATCAGGAAAAAGCTGCAGGGCAAATAAAACATGATCCAGGAGGTCTCTGCAGTTGCCAAGGGCCAGTGGGGTTCTTAGTCCCTGTGGGAGGAGAGGGACTAAAGTGCTAATCTAGCAACATGAGGCGCCCTGGGAGCGAGACAGGTAACCCTGACCTTCAGGCTCAGCACCCATTGATCGCTACGCCGGTGCTTTAGAACATAGAGCTGGAGATGAGCCGTCACCACCAGGGGGCAGCAGAGCCCCACCGCGGAACCAACCCAGGAGGAAAGGCCCTGTTCAGCCCGCAATCTGCAGCTCCCAGCGACAGAGGGAGGGGCCCAGGCCTGCAGCACATGCAGTCACATACGCGGGATGAGGGAAGTATGAACGTGTCCTCTGTCATTTTGCACTCTCCAGTAATGAACAGGTAAGACGCTCACGTTACAAGGCCACACTACCTTAACCCGATGGCATTCAGGGTTTCAGAAACCTGAGCTCCAGTTTTGTTTTTGGCCATCTGCAGTGGAGTTCGGATCCTCAGGGTGGCGAGGCGGGGTCCAGGAGGCCCAGGGAGAGCCAGGAGCCTGCGTCTTCCCACGCACCGCGGGGAGGAAGGTGCGCCTGCCTGGCAGCCCGGCCTCCCTGCCACGCTCAGCAGGACCTGGCACGGAGCTTGAGCGCAAAGGCCCTGAAGCCCAAGCCCCTGGGTTCGCTGCCCTGCTCTGCTTTGGCTGGAGAGCGGCGGGCGGTCACCTCGTCTGCACACCCGTCTGTGAGAGGTGGAGCAGCAAGTCCTCCCTCGCAGGGCTGTGGCGAAGGCCAGTTTCATGTGGCTGATGTGGGGCGACAGAAACACTGGAAAGTGCTAGTTATCGCTCTTGCTGTTTCGATTAGGCCGAGCTTGGGGCAGCTCTGTGTTCAGTCTAGGCCGGCAGGAGGCTAGGCCCTGGGCCAGCCTGCGGGAGGGCACTGCAGCTGGGGTTCTGGCAGTGCTGTCCGAAGAGCTCAGCATCCTGGCTCCCTCTGCATAGAGGCCCGGGCAGCTGCTGCAGGCACCCAGGGACCCCACCTCAGTGACTGGCCAGGCCCGGCAGGTGGCCGTGTCCCTGAAACTCCTCGGGTGGCTGGAGGTGGGGTTGGGTCTGGGGAGCACTGAGCGTGCCGACTGTGTGGATGATACTGACCCAGCGCGCTTGCCCCAGGCCAGAGCCCGGGCTCTGGCTCCCTCACCCCTCAGACATGCTGACGAGGGAGACTCCGCAGGCAATGAGAGGTGAAGAGCAAGCCGCGCTGGGCAGAGGGAATAAGAAAATGGGCCTTGTTGTTGCACTTGTTATAGCACTCGAAGTTGGGCTATACTCAGCGGCCTGCACACCATTCACATGGTTGATTGTTCAGAAACTGACTCTGGGCATAGTGTCGCATGCCTGTGATCCCAGCACTCTGGGAAGCTGAGGGCCTCAGTTGCCTGGCGAAAGTTCTTCTGAGCTCCACAGCCAGTGGGTGTCACGTGCCAGTCCGCCTGGGCTGCTATAACAGCGCACCATAGACCCGTGGCTTTCGAGCAGTGGGGAGACCGACTGCTCACAGTTCTGCAGGCAGAGAGTCCAGGGACCAGCACTCTTGGGTCTGGTGGGGGCCACTTCCTGGCCACAGCACGGCGCCTCCACACCGTGGGCTGTCTCCTAAGCCCCACCCCATGACCTCATCACCTCTCAAAGACCCCAGTACCGTAACTGTGGTCCAGGGGCTGGGATTTCAAATAGGAACTTAGGAGGGACACAAACATTGAGACCATAGCATTGCTTTTGCTACTGGTTCTTCTTTTGCTGGTAGCTGTTAGATCAAGATGAATTCACTTTAGCTGGCTAGAAAAGGGTGGAGAACAAAGAAAGATGCAAGTACAGAGCTAAGAGAACTGAGAGAGAGTGAGGTGGGAGGTGGGGAGGGATGTAAATGGCTCTAGTGTGTGAAAGAGAAGACCTGGCTTAGAAGACGTTGGCTTCCCAGCACGCCCTGACCCCAGCCCTCTGTGGCAGGTGGGGTGCAGAAACAGCGGGGCCCCGAGCCCCCCTGCTCACTCCCTGAGAGGGCCAAAGTTTTGCTTTCATCCTGATTATAAAAAAAAGCAGCTTATTGGAACCAGCAAAAACAGCTGCAATTTTACCATTCAAAGATTACCAGTGTTGTCATTTTGGTGTATATCTTTCCACCTTCTCCTTTTGTTATGGGTGTGGAATAAAGAAAGTTCTTGTGCCTGCATAATGCCGGAGTGCCCTTGTGCATTTAACCAAGCCCTTGCTATTGGATGCTGGGATATGCTCCTTTCTCTTTCCCCTTGGTTAAGTGGCATCTCTGCCCTGAAGTCCCCTGGCTGTGGACCCACAGCTTCAGGCTTCCTGGACCTCTCCACGTGTGTGCTGGGCTTGAAGAATCAGATCTGTTCGTGCCCAGAAACGGACCTGCCTTAGGCACCGTTGCACACCTGTCCTTGAAGTGATAGGATCACTGCAGTGCCCCAACAGGCTGAATCTTCTTCTTGGAGAACCCTTCCCAAATTTAGTGCTTCCCCAGTCCACACTGGCCAGGGCAATCCTGCAAAGCAGTGCCTTGTTTCCTAACCATGCAGTTGGTGTGCATGGAGAGAGTATCTTCCTAAGGTGGACGTCTGGAAGCTAAGGGCAGTTCCTGCCAGTTTTATTTTTTTCTACTCCACGATGGTAAGAGCGAGCTTTGCAGAGAGCAGCTAAGCAGAGTGGAATCAGCTCCCTCATGCAGCTTGTGGTGATGCCTCAGAGCCAGCAGGACTGCCTAGCCCGGCTGCTGGTGACAGGAAGGTGGTTTCAGAAAGCGGTGGGATGTATGCTTAAAAGAAGAGTGAAAACAAATCCCTTGGCATGTGGGTCTCCCCTCTCCTCTGTGGGCAGTGCTTCTGCTCTGCTGGTGGCAGAGGAAGCTATACACCTGGGTTGCTACTGGGGAGAGCAGCTGCGGAGGTGCCTCAGGTGTCCTCCTGGTGTCACAGGGACTGCCACAGGGACAGAGGACACAAACTCCTGGGCCCCTGACCGCTTACTCCTTAAAGGCATGATTTGCGTTTTCTTCTGAGGCATTCAGGGACTCAGAAGTGCTTTTGCTAAACAAATAGTGATTCTACCCTTGGGCTTACAGGGATCCATCTCCTTTATTGCCTTAGAACTTTGGGTCTGATCCTTGTTCAGCTGCCCATCTCGGCATTAGTCATGTGGGGAGTGGACTGTCTGTCTAAAAGCTGCCAAACAAGATTGGTCAGCTGCAAATTTACATTCCCCTTCAAGGCCGGACACCATGGTAGGAGCTTTACAGGGACTTTCAGCGACCTGAGCACTGGGCGTCTTCAGTCATTGCCCTTGGTCACCTTGGATTCCAGCAAAGCCTCCATAAGCCCGAGACTGTCCTGAGAAGAACAGTCATCTCACAGAGACCGGACAAGGGTAAACAGGGCCTTCTGGATCCATCAGCACTGAGATGATGATCACCCAAGCCGAGCAGCCCCCGCGAGTCCCTAAGAACCGGCCCCTTCCTTTGTTACTAGGCCAGCCTCACCTCCTCCACCGGGGCTGTGCCCTTGGCACTCCGAGTCCCTCTCCTGTTTTCTCTTACTCCAACTCTGCATAAGTAATCTGCCTGTGCCTCTCACCGACGCACCCTGACATTCACCCTGGCTCTCTCCTTCCGGGAACCTCCGTGGACTCCGTCCAGGGACACTGGGAATGGCCTTTCTAGCTGACTTAGTGTCGGGAGCCCAGAGGTCAGATTCGAGCCCAGTCGATACCTTCGCCAGCCCCGGTGTGCAGGGTCTGCCTCGGGGGCGGCATGGCTTCACCCTCACTTCAACAGTGCCCTCAGCCTCGTGAAATCTCCTTCCTGTGAGATGCAGAAAACATATGACTGCTCTCTCTTGCTTTTTTGTGTTTGTCTAGTGGTATAAGAATGAAATCAAATTGACTGCAAATTTTATAGCATGTTTACGAACTCTAGAATCGCCGTTTAAATTACAGTGCGTTGCCTGCAAAACCGGCTACCTTGTTAGAACTGTCTTTTGTCTGCCTTGCCCCGTATATTTAGTATTCATTTTCAGGGCTGCTTGAACATCCCTAACCTCAAAATCGGAAATTCTCCAAACTCCAGAAGTTATTGAGCAGACTTTCCAATTGGGGATGCTCAGATTGGGCATGCAAATACCCCAAATATGAAAAACTCTGAAGTCTGGATCGCTTCTGGCCCTAAACATTTTTAATGAGGGACGCTGTCCTGCAGCTCCTCTATGAGCAATCAAAACACCCTCTCTGACTTTACACCGTGGCTCGGATCGCTCTCCTGTTGCTGCCCACAGCTGGGGTTCTGGGATGCATGAGGGAGACTGAGAAGAAGGTACACATAGGGGACACATCATAGTCCCCCGGTGCCTTGTGTGCCAGGCGCTGCACGTACTGAATCATCGCCAGGTTTCCTCTGCTTTCCGAAAGAGGAGGCCGAGATAGGGCCACGCAGCTGTACGGCTCACGCTAGGATTGGGTCCTGATTGAGTCTGATGCCCGTGCCCTTAAGCACGGTGGCACACCGCACTGCACAGGACCCTGGTCCCTGCTTCTGTTTACTCTGCTTTGTTTCCGAAACAACTCAAGGCAAAGCCTCACACTGAGACTCAGCTCCCCCCCGCCCCTTTGGCTCTGTTTCTCGCTGTCCTTCCAGTCCTCTTGCCTGTGCCCCCTTGTCCTTCGCCAGACTTTTCCAGCCACAGCCACAGCGGGTGGCGGTGAGGACAGCCAGGCTGATGTGGAGTCCAAAGGGACCGCGGGGCCTGGGTGTCGCCCTCCCTGCGCACGTTTCCAGGCACTTGCTGGGGTGGGGATGCAGGGCTTGTCCCAGTTCCTGGTGCCGGCAGCTTGCTGGGCTCGTCCTCTTCTTAGGAACGATTTTCACCCAAGAACCTTGAGTATTCCCAAGGCAAACCAACCCAACCAAGCAACAGCAACCCATTCTGGGAGAAGTGAATTAAAAACACTGCTGAGGGGCAGTGTTTTGGGAGCTGGGCCACAAGCTGATGCCCTCTTCTCTCTGTCTCCGAGCCAGATGCAGCAGCCGGAGCTCTGCTCGCTGAAGGACAGCCTCTGCGTCCTGGCCCGTGCCCTGGGCCGCCTGCTGAGCTGGTGGGCGCTGGCCGAGCTGATGGTCCACCTCCTGTACATGCACGCCCTCTCCGGCAGCCCCCTCCTGCGCGACGTCAGCTGCTGGGCGCTAGGTAACGCACGCAGAAACCCCTGGCGGGAGGAGGGCGCCCGAGCAGACCTGATGCTTAACCTTATTCCTCTGTGGCCAAGACTGCACGCGCGGGGGGAGCCTGGTGTGCTGATGGAGGGGAGCGCTGTGCCCCTGGCCCGGGGGTCGGGTGCAGTGACCCCTCCTGCGCGGGAATCATGCTGAGCTGAGCGTAGCCTGGTGCACATCTTCCTGGTGTGGCAATGAGAGCGAGCTTCACTGGGAGCAGCCTGGGGTCCGCTCCAAGGCCGGCTGTTCTGCAATGTGCCCTTCCTCTCAGAGTGGGCTGTACAGGGAAGAGCTTGGCCATCAGTCAGACAGGCTTGGGTATGGATCCAGCCCCGTTAACCAATAGCAGGCAACCTCTGATGGCTTATTAAGTCTGTCCGAGCGCTGGCATCTTCATTTCTAACGTGAGCCTCGCCTTTGAAGAGTTATTTTGTTGTTTTA